AGAGAGAGAGAGAGAGAGAGAGAGAGAGAGAGAGAGAGAGAGAGAGAGAGAGAGAGAGAGAGAGAGAGAGAGTGGTAAAATGAGATGCGTACTCTGCACAGTCTTGCTGCGCTTGCTTTACTGTCCGTTTCTGTGAATATAGGTGCTAAGCTTCAGTAGAAGTTATGGGGGGGGGACTCAACATCACCTAAACTTATTTCCATTTGGTGGATTATGAGGCGGCTTCATGGGGAGCGGTTGTGACGCAGAGTAAAGTAAATCATATATCTTGTGGCGCAACATGTCTCTCGTGAATAGATCTGTGAATGGTTGCTCACCAGCATCTGGGATGAAGATTGTCAATGTCCTAGTCTATTGGTACAACCGTCTTCGCCCAAATGGAACCCCCGGTCATTGTAATATCTTTATTTGGGGCAACTTTTGGTCCAGATGCAGGGAGAATGGTTGGGCGTTCTGTTCGGGTAAAGATGTTATGGCCCCATTGGTGCTGCTTCAGGTTCATTATGAGAGTTTTTGATCTGCCAATGGATCACATGCCGATGATGTGCGAACGGACATCGGTGCTGATCGTTGAATTGCGATCTTCAGGAGACATCCTTGTGTTTGCAAGTCTGTTCTTTAGATTTGATTTGATGACTCTCAAATTATGATGATTGGCTGGTGATGATGGTGCCTCTTGCCAAGTACACATGATGATGATCATCATCATCATTGTGACGATGATGATGACAGTTGAAGGTTATTGATGATGATGATGATGATGATGAAATGATGATGATGATGATGATGAAAATTGTGTATTTTCATAAGCAAGTCAATCAATGTCTAACGTGTTTCGTTTTCCTATCTAACAGTTTGTAAGGCGTGGACTCCCACCCTGGTGGGCATGGCCCTCTTTTCGTTGTCCGACGGTGGTACGGCGGTTGAGATTCGTCCTTAAATGCTCATGTTTTTGTCGACATCTGGCTTGGCAAATGGCCGACAAGCAGATTTTGGGAAGCTGGAGATCTGCAGCAGAATGCGGAACGAATGTGGGATGTGTGATAAAATGTGTCAGGGAGTGTCAGGGTTTCGGGAACGTTAATGAGGATGGAAGTCGTGCGTGAATGAATGAATCTGATCACTTTTTTGGTTTAATTCACTCGAAATTTTACATGTTAAAAAAAAATGAAACATGAAAAGTTGTCGTCTGACATTCTGCATTAATTGCTGTCTGACACCTTCTCTCAAATATCCCAGACTTGTTTTTTCCTGACGTTCCCTGAAGTCTACCCACATTTTGGTGTTTGTTATGTTTTGTGGGCACTGTAATTTATTCAGTCTTTGCACAAAGCAGGGTGGGGGCTGCTGACTTTCACTGAGTCTCTCTTCGAGGACAGAAGGTTAACCGACCCTTCAATTTTCACCCCCATTTATAAGAAAACCAGAGGGTCATTTTAACCATACTTCACAGCAATCTGTATAGTGCACTTCTTACTAACTTATTGTAAAAAGAAAACCGGGAAAAAAATAATTAAAAATATATGAAACAACAAGCCAAAAGTGCACTTTCATGAAATTTCACCAACATTTCAATTTGTCAATTTTCACGATTTTCACCACTGCCCAAAACAACCATCTCCAGGAGGGAGATCCCACTACCGATGTACGTGGATTAGTGTTTAAGGTGTGTGACTGTCAGGCATCGTGGATTTGGCAGGAAATCAGCGGTAGCCTGTTTTTGCGAATTAAGCCTGGGAAAAGGATGTTCTCTTTTGCTCTCCCATTGGTAGGTTTTTGTTTTTCGGGTCCTGTGGCTGTCCCAAACGTGCGTGAAATCACAGCCAAATTTTTTGGTTCGTGAAATCACACACGTTTCACTCACGGCGAAAGCAAAGACGAATGGCTTCATCGCTGGAAATCGATTGTGGTTTGGGAGGTGTTTGGGAGGGTTCGATCCCCTCACCTACAGCAAATGGTGTATGGAGTTACTCTTGCCCTCCTTCGCCAAAGAGAATTTCTGTCAGAACAACCGAACAGCGTGCGCTGCGGCCTATTTCAAAGAAGCCTCAGACTCTTCTCAATGAATATGGTCCGTGTGCCCAGTCACATGCGGTCGTCTTGACTGCCACAGCCATGGTCAGTGAATCATACCCTGACATCTGACACCCCGCCTGGAGCATACACCATCTGTGAGAAGAGCACTTTCTTTTCCTTTTTCGCAGTTTTTTCATGAAATGTATTTTTGCGTTTATTTTCCCTATTTCACGCTGCCACCCACCTGTCCCCCCTCTCTGTCTCTCTGTCTCTCTGTCTCTCTGTCTCTCTGTCGCTCCGTCTCTCTGTCTCTCCGTCTCTCCGTCTCTCTGTCACTCTGTCTCTCTGTCTCTCCGTCTCTCCGTCTCTCTGTCTCTCTGTCTCTCTGTCTCTCTGTCTCTCTGTCTCTGTCTGTCCCTGTCTGTCTCTGTCAGTCTCTGTTTGTCTCTCTCTGTCTCTCTCTGTCTCTGTCTGTCTCTGTTTGTCTGACTGTCAGGGTTGGTGTGTGTGGATGTGTGGATGTGCACAGTTGTATGTGTATGTTTTTTTTTTTTTTTTTTGTGAGAACCGAGCAATTATATTACCATAATCATTGGGAGATGGATATGTTTTGATTTGTAGATTGGATGCTGTTTGTGATGCTCCATTGGAAAGGAGGAGGGGGGCACACCCGTCACACTAATCCACATACATGGCTAGTGGGATCTCCCTCCAGGAACCCAACAAACACCAAACTTGGCACATACAGAGCTTGACCAAAAACAAAACAGGGGGAAAAACAAACAAACAAAAAAAAAAAAAACATGATCCCCACTGCACTTTTCAGGGTTGTGAAGGTTACCCTAGGGTGAAAAGTGGGGGTACCTGTTAACCATTTGTGTCTTCGAGACAGCGCCCAGATCGTTACGCCTTTTGTGCGGGTCGGAACTTCCAACAAGGAATTTTGCCACCTTAGGACCGTTATAGTTACGGCCACCGCTCACCGGGGCTTCGGTTGGTAGCTTCACCATAATAGGAGTTACCAACTTCCTTCACCTTCCGGCACTTCGAGACGATGCAATCTTGGCCGTTCGATGGGGACTAGGATTGCTTTTTTATTTTTTTATTTTTTTTTAACCACCACTACCCCTAACAGCCCAAAGTAAGATTCCTGGAGAGTTAGGGCCGCAGGAAACGGTAGGGCAGTGAGTTGGCGACCAGCAGGCGCAGGCGGGTACAGTCCCTCAATTTTGAAGTGCCTACTTTGGCAATTTTTCGCGCTCGGAATAATCTATGAAAACATCTGAAAATTTGGGATTCTGTAGATTAGACTGTGATCTTTGCAAGAAAAATACCAGAAAAGTTTTATATAAAAAAAACAATTTGCAGCGTGAAACATATGTCACGCCGATTCCGCACGTTTTCCATTTTTGCCACTCTACGGCGCTAGGGTGTGACGTTCAACCTCACGCCCTGCGCCGTCTTCCGGTCAGAGTGATAAATTGTGCACAATAGGCCCTGAAAGACAACA